CATTTATAAACTGAAAGCATTTGCAGATGACCTGGTACTTACTTTGCAAGAGCCTGAATCTAGTACAAAAAGAGTTTTAGAGTTAATTCAAGATTTTTGGTCAGGTTGCAGGATTTAAGCTGAATAAATTAAAAACGAAAGTATTGGGGAAAATCTAACATCAGTGGAAAAAGAAAGGTTTCAGAATGAGACAGGGTTAACTGTGGTTAAGAAAGTGAAATATCTGGGTGTTAATATGACTTCAAAAAATCTGAACTTATTTAAAGATAATTATGAGAAATGTTGGAATGAAGTCAAAAAAGATTTAGAAATTTGGTCAAATTTGAAGCTTTCCTTGTTGGGTCGAATAGCAGTTATTAAGATGAATGTGTTGCCTAGAATGTTGTTTTTGTTTCAAACTTTGCAAATATTGGACAAGATGGATTGTTTCAAGAAGTGGCAGAAAGATATATCTAAATTTGTCTGGCAGGGCAAAAAGCCCAGAATAAAATACAAGATATTGACTGATGCGAAAGACAGAGGGGGGTTTTGCCCTGCCGGACTTAAAACTTTACTATGAATCAGCAGCCTTTTGCTGGTTGAAAGAATGGATGCTTCTTGAGAACACTGACACTTTAGACTTGGAAGGGTATAACAATATGTATGGGTGGCATGCATATCTTTGGTACGACAAGGTTAAAGCTCATAAAGGGTTCAAAAACCACATTGTCAGGAAAGCACTATATAATGTCTGGACTAGATATAAAGATTTGCTGGAAAGTAAAACTCCAAGGTGGTTGTCACCAATGGAGGCAAAGGCCATTAAAAAATTTAATATGGAGGCCAAATGGCCAAGATATGGAGAAATTCTGGAACAAGAGGGGGACAGATGGAAACTCCAAAGTTTTGAAAAACTAAAAGGGAAAGTGAGAGATTGGCTTCATTATCATCAAATAATGGAAGTGTTTAAAACAGATAGGAAAATTGGCTTCCAGGTGGAAAAATCAAAATTAGAGACTGAACTGTTAGAACCCAGTACTAAGAATTTGTCAAGAATGTATAGCTTTGCTGTTGGAATGGAATACACAAGATGAAGTAGTTAAGTCTGCAATGATTAAGTGGGCACAGGACATTGGTCATAACATTTTGTTTGCTGACTGGGAAAAGTTGTGGACCACAGGTATGAAATTTACGGCGTGTAATGCCTTAAGAGAGAATATTATGAAAATGATATACAGGTGGTACATGACCCCAGTCAAGCTTTGCAAAAATTTATCATTTGCCCGATAATAAATGTTGGAAATGTAAAGAAATTGAAGGAACATTCTTTCACCTTTGGTGGACGTGCCCAAAGATTAAGGTCTTCTGGGAAATGATCTATAATGAACTGAAAAAAGTACTCAGGTACACTTTCCCTAAGAAACCAGAGGCCTTCCTCCTGGGCATTGTCGGCCAATTGGTGCCAAAGAAAGACAGAACATTTTTTATGTATGCTACAACAGCAGCAAGAATACTCATCGCAAAAGTACTGGAAGATGCAAGAACTACCCACCGTGGAAGAATGGCAACTGAAGGTGATAGACTATATGGGACTGGCAGAAATGACGAGCAGAATCCGTGACCAGGGAAGCGATACGGCGCAGGAAGATTGGAAGAAGTTTAAAGAGTATCTAAAAAAATATTGTAAAATTAATGAAGGTTAGGAAAATGTTGGATTGGTTTTTAAGGGGTTAAAAGCAGTAAGGGATAATTGGAAGAAAATATCTGTTACTAAAACTATCTTAAAAGTAGGGAAAGGATCTGCTGAAAATTGAATCTGAAATTAGAATACAGAAAGGGAAGGTATGAGGAAGTCGTGAAAGTAAGCTTAAAGAAAGTAAAAATTGAGGTTATACGTGTTTTATCTTTTGTATTTGTATGTTATGCCTTTTTGCTTTTTTTGCTTTTTTCTTTTTTCTTTTTTTGTTATGGTGTTTGTTAAAACTTCAATAAAAATTTAATTAAAAAAAAAAAATCATACACCCACTGTTTCGTTCAGAATATTTTTTTTCTTGTTTTCCTCCTCTAAAAACTAGGTGCGTCTTATGGAGCGAAAAATACGGTACTTAAAAGCCTTGGGGCACAAAGTGCATAAAATTTGCACATGCCAATTTATGTAAAAGGTAAAGGTAAAGAACCCCTGTCAGTTAAGTCCAGTTGCAGACAACTCTGGGGTTGCAGCGATCATCTCGCTTTACAGGCCGAGGGAGCCGGCGTTTGTCCACAGACAGTTTTTCCAGGTCATGTGGCCAGCATGACTAAGCCACTTCTGGTACAACAGAACACCGAAACCAGAGCAGCGCACGGAAACGTTGTTTACCTTCCCGCCACCTATTTATCTACTTGCATTTTGGGGCGTGCTTTCGAACTGCTAGGTTGGCAGGAGCTGGGACTACATTTGGTCGCTGGGCCTGATGTATCCTATCTTGACTAGAACATATCTGCTACCAGAGAGAGAGAGCAGACCAGTAAGGAAAGTCTGGAGGGACAAACACCTGGCTACCAGGAGAGGCTAGCAACTCTCTCAGTTGGAGAGTGGCAGCTGGAACACTGGAGAACTAGGGGAGAACTTTATATGCATACACCTTTACCCCACTCTAGCAACTGCTGCACTACTGATTTATTTTAAGTATTTTGCAAGCTGTCTAGAGAATTATATTAATAGAAATAAATGCTCCAAAATAAATAATCTAAACATATATTCAACAGCTGTAGCTTCCCGCCCCCCGCCCCCATTCTAGTCCTGACGGAACTGCTTCTGTTACCACCAAATCCTTTAGCCCATTATAGTACATTTTACTGTTGTGCGATTTTGCTTCCTGGTTCAGTTTGTCTCTTGATAAATGCACCGTGTTCAAATGCTCTTCTGCATTCTTCGACTTCACTGTTCCTTCTCCCGTCCACTCTATCAACCTCCAGATGTTGTCAACAGGCTGAATCTTCAGTTGTTAACAAAAGCATTTCTTTGCAATCAAAGAGTGCATAAGCTGGTGTGATTACTCATTTTTCCAGCTTGAGCAAATGTGTTACTTATTTCCAAGAGCAAAAAACCCTGGTATGCTGAGTAACTGCATTTCTGTTTTCAAAGAGTCAAGCTTGAAAAAATGAAAATCATGTGAATCCATGGGATCAAGTTCAAAAGCAATTATTCTTTTTGACATTTGTCAGGGCTGCGGGGAGGGGTGTTTTAATTTTGGTGAATCATTGCTAACATGGCTATATATTGAAATGGATGATCGTAGGTAATGGAAATATATTTTATGACTAACACTGGACATTAGTCAGCAGTTATAAATAGCTTTTAAGTGATGCATGCAAAGAAACTGTGCATGGCCAATACATACATTAGTGTTTTATTTAAATGCAGAAAATCTACACTATTTTCCTGTTGTTGGTTCTCAAGGCTAGAATTATATCATTTATCAATTAATGCTGCTTCTGGGAATAGCAGTATACAATATATAAATAATATTTAAAGCAATTTTGACAGAGCACTCACACCCCCAAACATTAGCACAAGCTTTCTGAGAAATGAGACATCACAATTTAATTGGGGGTGATTTGCTTTTATATAAAAAAATTCTCAGTCGAGCTCCCGGTAGCAATAAACAATACAAAATTAATTCATATAGTAGAGGTATAAAGTATGAATACCATCTAGCCAATGAGGCACTGTGACAGAGATGCTGCAAGTAACCTCCCTTCCAGCACAGGATCAGGAGCAGCCCCCATCTCTCCATACTGAGGTCTGGTGCCCAGGTACCCCAGGCCCAGGGACTAGGTTCAGAATGACCGACATTAGTCATGGGGATGATGGAGCACCCAGCTCATCCTATCACTTCTGAGCTAGAAAGATCAGTGGCCTGACTTGGTGTAAGGCAGTGGCTTTGTCTGGGGAGTGGGTTCAGCAAGATGCATCTACACTTTCCTTCCCAAGGTTTGAGGCTACCACCATTATTGTCGTTTCCTCCTCCCCATCTTCCTTGTGTGCCAGTTGCTGTCTCCAGCTACCAAGCACCTGGCTGCCCAAAGAGGCAGGCAAATGTCAAGAGCTGCTAGGAGCAGCAGCGAACAAAGTGGGCAGGAAGGCAGCAACAGCTAAGATCTGTAGCCACCATATTCAACTACTCTCCCCCCTCTGGACGATGTTGGTGAGTCGGTGACTGAAACAGGTGGGTGGCCAACCTATGCCACAAGAGGAGCCACGTGACACACACAAAAAACAGAGCCTGTGGCATTTCCTGAGCAGGACAGTGCACGAGCCTGGCTATAGTCAAGCCTTGGCTCTGCCTCTTCCATGCTCCAGTTTACTGCACGCTGGCTCAACAGATCAGAAGCAAAACTGTTCCAATGAATGTTGGCAGTGCAGGACATCCTGTAGAATCGCAACAGTTACATTCTCAAAAATATGGGTTTGACTTTCTGGTCCACTTGCCATAGTCTATCCACTGACAAATGCCTATTCTAAAACATATTTGAGACATGCAACCCCATGTACATTATGATAAACAAAAACCTGGAGTTCACCCCCTATGGAAAGCAGGTGTTTACCCGGCTCAATAATTTCTTTCTTTAAACCAGACAATGTGTGGATTACAAGCACTTTAATTGCCTGTTTTGGTTGAAATGGTTTTCTATCAGCACAACAGAGAAATATCTGATTTGCGGAGGGGTAAGAACATCACCACACATTTCTTTTCTCCTGCAGGAGGGAGAAGATCCCTGCTGGAAAATATCACTTCATTATCATCAGTGAGAGCAATCACCCTTTTCCCCTAATGCTTCTCAGTCATCCTATGCTGAAATGAAGATCGACCTTTCATTCAGTCCTAACCATGAAGAAGGAGCATGGCATCCAGAAGATTGGGGGGGGGATGTCATAGGAAAGTCAAAGGAATAAATTAAGCACCACAAAAGCATCATGTGAAGCATGTTGCCAAGTATACATAAGTATACACACATGAAATTTCATTCAGTTGTGCTGTCCAAAGCAAACCAGCTGCAGAAAGAAACAACCCAAAATCAGCAGCCCAATGGTCCGTGGTAGATTAGTCCATGGTCATGTGTTTGCACACAGGTTATATGGAATACATTTGACTTGTCTAGAATGGCTGTGCTTCTCTCTCAGTAGCATAGAAGCTGCGATCTGTATGTGGCCATACATTAAGTGATAGCGTGTTTTTAGTGACAGTGCCCAATAAAGTCTCAGACAATGAGTGGCAGAGTTGCTCTAATGTCACAGAAGTTGCTTGTGGTCTTTTGCTGCCGCTGGCTGGACAGGCAAGCCTGGAGGAAAACAAAGCAAAAGCAGGGCCTGGGAAGCAAAGGCCTGGGAGGGTGGAGAAGGCCAAAGGGAAGAGTCTGAGAATGTAAGAAAACTGAGAGAGAGAACAAGCAGAGATGAGAGGCTATGCAGGAGTGGCTATGGCTGGTGCTCCTCTGTTGATTTGAAATCACCAGCCAAAAGCTCTGCTGCAGGCCTCTAGCCATGTATCATTAATCACTACTAAACTAGTATGACAACCACTTGTTGTCTTTGTCAGCACTTAAGCCTTGCTCTAAAACGTCTATCTGCATAGCAATGTGAGAATTAATCAGAGACATAAACATTAACCAAAAAGAAAAGTTACCAACCCAATAGCTCTGACATCCTAGATTCCATTTCCTTACTCTTTGGCTGGGGTTTTATTTGAGGTTTTTTGTTGGGGGTGTTGCTGCTGTTGATTTTTTGTATCTTTATTTTAGATTTTGTTGTGATTTATATGGAAACTGTTCTGTCTGATTCTGTATTTTAATGTTTTATTTATTGTTCATGACAGCTTTTGTTATGTTGCAGTTATGTATTTTTCATGTTGCAAGCCATCTTAAGCATGGTTTGAAATGTGGAAAGGTGGCAAACAAATAAAATTATGTATGTATGTACTTTTTCTCCTTTCAGTCTTCCGCTTTCACTGGGTATTATGTTTTCATTCAGTTTATTCCTGTTTTCCTCCCTTGAGCACTTTCCCTACTTTCCCTTACAATCTCCATTAATCACACTCTCCACTTAAATACTTTATAGTAACCTTAAGGCTTAAATGTGCTTATGTCATAAGGTTAGTGCAAGTAGCACAATCTGTTTGGACAAGTCATTAAAGTGTGTTCAAGTGCTTAGCAACATGCTTGAAATTCAGCTTCCTAGCACTTAATACTGATAAGGCGCAGATAAGTACACATTCTATCTGTAGGGACATCTTTTCTACAAAATTTTGGCAGGATAATTCATCTGGCTGTGTTTATCAAATTGCTTCATTTTTTTTCATTTGATTCTTTCAGTGTTGTATATTTGCAAGTAGAAACCTGCCAGGAAATCTCAGCACAATCCCATTTGGCACGGGGATACCAGTTTTCATGCATGGCCTACTTTTGAGTTACCAAAACCCACTCCCAGCCTCCAAGGATGCTTGTCTGAATGTGCTGATAGCATTCATTCGTTAATTGTTTTTCTTGATACGGTCCTTTGATTGCCTATTCACAATAAGTCAAAACCTTCCATAAAATTGATCAAATTTACATTTGAAAGTTTTAAAATAAATTATTTATGTGTACCTTCAGGATTGGCTTGACACTTACCGTCTCAGATGCCAAACTGCTCTGTTGCCAACCCACCAAATATTTTGGATTTATATACTAGTTTGACCTCAAAATAATGTTGGAATTTTATTTTCCCACTTTATGGCTTTCTAGCATAAGTCTGTAGAGCAAAACTAAACATTACATGCAAATGCATAAAATAAAGCCCCAATAGTTCTAAAAATGAAAGGAGGCTTCAATTCTGAGTGGGTGTAGCTGGGGCAGAGGGAGATATTTAACACTTTGGCTCCCATTTATCTGCTCAAAATCTCCCAAAGCAGTTTCCCCAACATTACAAGTTTTTGTACTGTATTTACATTTGCAGATACAGTGGTACCTCGGGTTAAATACTTAATTCGTTCCGGAGGTCTGTTCTTAACCTGAAACTGTTCTTAACCTGAAGCACCACTTTAGCTAATGGGGCCTTCTGCTGCTGCTGCGCCGCCAGAGCACGATTTCTGTTCTCATCCTGAAGCAAAGTTCTTAACCCGAGGTACTATTTCTGGGTTAGCGGAGCCTGTAACCTGAAGCGTATGTAACCTGAAGCATATGTAACCCGAGGTACCACTGTACTCCTACTACCCCTGCTACTTCTCAACTCTGCAACCTCCCAAAGCTTTTCCATTTTCTAAAAAAAAACTGGGCCTTCATTAAACACATTTGTATGCTCCTGTGGTTAGTTTCACTGAAACAGCTGAAGCAATTTTGTTTCCAAATCTATTACAGGGAAGGACGGTGCCTCAGCTTTGCATGCAGAAGTCATCAACAGACCTAAAAACCTGGAGAGCCACAGCAAGACATTGTAGAGTAGACAATAGTGAGATAAATGGGCCAATGGTGTAACTTGGTGTAAGGCAGCTTCCTAGGATGTGAAGTCTTCTCATGTTTGCGCTTCCATAGCCAAAACCGTACCGCCCATATGCAAGAGGGAGCAAAGACTCAGAATACCCCTGTGGTTTGTGAAAGTAAATCTTTTAAAAAAGAAATAACCTTAAGGGGAGAAGAGTCTAAAAACAGCTGGGTGAAGACTGAGCACCCTCAGTGCTCATAGAATGCTGTCTGACTATTGTAAGGGACACAGCTGAAAAGGAAGAGAAAAGGAAGAGAAAGGAAGAGAACGGCAAAGAAAACAAAACAAGGGTAGAATCATCTGGTTGTCTTGATGGTGATCTACTTGGTTCACTCTGAGAAGCTATTTATTTTCAATATTCCCAGGGATGGTGCCCACAGAAGTAAGGGAGAAATAAAATTTTTTAGCAGGCATCAATGTGTCCACGTTCTGTTCAAAAACAGCCCACTGAGGACTAAGCATGCTCAAAGGGCACACTAGGCTTACTGAACACTGGGGAAGATGTAGAGAAAGCCAGGAGAGAGGAGGAATTTCATGACATGCCACACATCTGTTGAAGCATTTCTTATAGTCATTAAGTTCCAGCTGATCTTGATTTTACACCTGTTTGTGTTGGTGCCATCATGTACCGTATATTTTGCTCTATAAGAGTCACTTTTTCCCTCCTAAAAGTAAGGGAAATGTGTGTGCGTCTTATGGAGCGAATGCAGGCTGCGCAGCTATCCCAGAAGCCAGAACAGCAAGAGGGATTGCTGCTTTCACTGTGCAGCGATCCCTCTTGTTGTTCTGGTTTCTGAGATTCAGAATATTTTTTTTCTTGTTTTCCTCCTCCAAAAACTAGGTGCGTCTTGTGGTCTGGTGCGTCTTATAGAGCGAAAAATACAGTAACTTTAATTCATGCTCTGATCTGTATGTCTCTGCAATTCCATGAATGGAAGCCTCCTCCATCAAGATCAGGATATCTGGATTGTTTACATTAGATCGGTAAGAATTCCTGACTCTCAATCATTTAACAAAGGTAGCCAAAAGACTCTTCCCCCACCCACAAATATAGTGAGGAAATAAAGAAAGCTTCAAGAGGGCAGGAGGCAGGAACAAATTTTTGTGTAGAAGGACTGTCAGCTCCATTCACTTTTAGTACTAAAAACAGATTCCTTGGCTCAGAATTATTTATGTGTCTATCTTTTGCACCAGGTTCCATCTGGTGGATCTCCAGGTTCTAGTCAAAAACAATGTAGATCCTGCAACCCTGAAGTCTATCGACCCCTGTGCTGGGGATACCAAAACACCACCAGAAGTTATTCCATTCTCCTAATGAGGCAGAGGTAGCAATTAAGCCTGGCTTTAATTAAACCTATAATTTTTATGCATTTCTGCCCTATGTATGCATGTGCCAAAAATAAATTCCATTAGCACCAAAGGCAGCATGATCTCTTGTGAAGTAACTTCTAAACATATTTAACATTCCGTTTTGTTCTGCATACGGTGTCCTCCAAGTAAGAATTTATTATGATGGCCTTGGCTGTTCTCTCAAGCTAATAGCAATTAATACGTAGCCTATACCTCTTAGAAGAAATAGCATCCACAGCACAGTCTGCGTCTGTTACATTTTTCAGCTTCTTTAATGGCTGGAATTGTTTTCCTGGAGTCCAGCCACACCACCTTTTAGCTTACGCAAAGGAACAAGCTTTCCTCCTATTCCTTGGTTTAAAAACTGCCAACTTTTCAAGTTCATAAAGACAGAAAATATTTAAACAAGATTATCATGTCTTGAAGAACGCCTCTCAAGGCAACAGAACTTAACTTTCTGGACCCCAAATTTGAAGACTACAGTGCCAGACAGAGTTATCTGCATGTTAATTCCCTTAGACTGGATTCTTATTGAAGTCTGTCCCCAATTTCTTTATGAATTAAAGTTATAGGTGTTGCCAGGCAAGGCACTGGACATTCTCATTGCAATTTTGCAAGCTATCATT